CATAAAAAAAATCGAATCGAGTTTGATGATACGCGTTCATTATGTGAACAGAAAAGAGGAATCAGCTAAGACTCAAAAACCTAAAGGAAAAGAGTGGTTAAAATGCAGATTAATAAACTGGCAATCTCTCTCTTATTACCACTACGAGAGAGATGGCCAATCGTGATTTGAAAAAAAAAGTAAATTATGAGGCTGATTATGTTGAAGTTCTATATTTTTTGTGATATTCTAAGAGTTTAATGTCATAAATTTAATGAAATGTTAATTAATCTTTGCAGTAATAATTTTACTGGCTTCTTAAAAAACTATGGCCAACTCCCCCAGACTTACCACTTACTTATTTTTTTTATAGAAGAGGGGGCAAACGAGCATGCGGCTCACCTGATGTTAAGTGACTACCGCCGCCCATGATCAACCGCAACACCAGGGGAATTGCAGGTGCGTTGCTGGCCCTTTAGAAAGGAGTAAGCTCTTTTCTTGAAGGTCCCCAGGTCGTATCGGTTCGGAAAAATCGCCGGTGGTAAACTATTCCACAGAGAGGTCGTACGCGGAAGAAAACTCCTTTTGAAACGTACAGTGGTGGACTGCAAAGCATCCAGATGATGTGGATGGTATCGGGACGTTTGCCGCGTAGTGCGTTCACGAAATTTGGTGGCTGGGATTAATCCGAACAATTCCTCAGAGCACTCCCCATGGTATATGCGAAAGAAAATGCAAAGAGATGCAACATCTCTTTGCATTTTCGTTCGCATATACCATGAACAGATCTCCCCGCATGATCGGTCAAACGTGAACCAAGCCATTCGGCATGATGGGCGTTAAAGTCGCCGAGGATCACGATCTCTGCGGAGGGGATCTGCTGTAGCAACGAATTTGTAGCCATTTGGACGTGGTCGAAGAGTCGTTCTGTTTCGGCATTACCGCTATGGGACCTATAGAGGCACCCGTAGATGCGCCGATGGTCGTCGCTGTCTACGCGTAGTCAAAGGATGGACAGGTCCGAACCTTCAAGACTGCCGAGGCGTCGAGAACAAATGTCCTCTCTGACATAAACGCAAACTCCAGCCCGAGGCGCAAAGGAGTGTTCCAGTTTGTACCCCGGGTAGGAGAGATACGATACATCAGCCAGAGAGGACACCTGCGTCTCGGTCAGAAAGAGCAGAGCCGGCCTCGCCGTCTCGAGATGGTCGTCGTTTAGGTTAGAGTGAAGTCCCCTTATATTGCAGAAATTCACGGATAGCTTGGCAGGGGTCGCCTTGGTCTTGTTGCTCCGTTTGTCCCGAGCAGTTGCAGTCTTGAGCGGAATTTTGCCCCCCCCCCCTCCACAGAATATGCGGGGCAGCCTGAGCACCCACGCTCACGATTGGAGTAACTTGATCGTGGATGCTCAGCGAGGGATTCTCCGGGGGTGCTGGTACCCTCCTAGGATAGTTCACTCACCAGACAAAACGCGGAAGCAGGGCTTCCACTTCACGCCGGTATTCTGTGTGGTCGTGGTACCAGCCCGGTTTGAGCCGGCCCATACGTGCAACATCAAAGGCTGCCGCGTGGCTCTACCACTGTTAAAACTTTAAAGTTTTTTACTTTAAAGTAAAAAAAATCTATAATAGCTAAAAAGCTAAGCTGGTAAGCAAGTTGCAAGCTTATGAGTTGTTGAATATGGTTTGGCGTTAACCAACAGCAAAGTTTAAACTTCACACCATTACCTACATTTCATTTACTAATTCTTAGTAGTTTGTTGAACACAATTTTATATTAATATAAATACATACCTGCTATATACCCTTTGACTATTACTAATCTGAGGCTCAGAGTAATTACTAGCAAAGAGGGAATCCTAACAAACCGCTCTAAACGTTTCTCCCCATGGCTCTGACAGTGCGCGACATGTTATACTCCCGTTCGCTCGGGACCTTAATGGCGGGAAAATTTGTAAGTTAGAAAATTTTTTGCTATATTGCAAATTTTGCTATATTTTCACTTTGAGACAATATTTATGGATAAAACTTACAGGATTTCTTGTTGAATGTATAAACTATCGAATAAAATTATTTTTGGTTGCTAGAAATTGTAATAAAATACATAAATTACCCTGTATAGCATGGTAGTAGTATATACTTCAATTTTAGTGACAAAATTACTACTAATTTGAATTCTACACTTTTGTTTTTGGAGAAATTTATATGAAAATGTTTGGAAATATGTATATTTTTATGTTTTATATGTTTCCATTACTCATTACTTTTACTCATACCAAAATATTAAAATATTAAAAAAATTAAAAAAAAAAACAATAATAATATTTTATCTGTGTGACATTTAGAACAATATTTCAAAAATAATTATGTGTGAATTTGAAATAAATACAATGTCAAGTTATTTGAAATACGTAAGAAAACTATTTTTACTTACATTTTACACTAAAAATAAATGAGAATTTGAAAAATAACACATTTATGACCCAACCGCCAAAATGGGCCTTCCAGATTTTGAAGTACTTTTGGCAATTTATTTTTCACTTTTTATACCACAAATTATATATCTACGTGTTCACTATATTACAAGGAATATAAAAAAGTATAATACTTTCGTTTTTAGTCCAGACACAAATATAAAATTCTATAAAAAAGACGGAGCACCTTCATCAAAACGACACGTGGAACGCCGAAAGTTCAGAGTGATTTCTTTTTTTTTTTTCTAAGAAACATTGCCAGGTTATGGTTTAAAATAAAAGAGCATATCTTTGTCTTTGATGCTATTATCTATTGCATATTGTCTTTGGTTTTGTTTTAAAGGAAAAAATAGTTTTTTCATAAGGCAGTACTTCTGATCCGACCTGATCTAATTCGACCCGTACCAGAGCCGACGTAAGGTAGGTATTGTATGATCTGATTAGATCGGTAGCCGAGTGAATGGGCTACAGATTCTATATTAGAATAGGCGCGTATATGAGTGTATGAGTGAGTGTGTGTGCGTGCGTGCGTACATGGTTCCCGTTAAGTGTGTTATCAGAATCAGTAGCCAAGCATATAGAAACATTTTTTTTAAAAAAAAACGCATTTAATTTTTTTTATTTTAATGAAAAAAAATTAATATGCAAATTGTAAGTATGTGGTTTTATTTCCTGTAACTCACACGAGTATCGGTAATGCGGGGTCTTTGACAATCCTCTTACTCCTTGGCAAATGCAGAGATTATAAAACCACATAAAATTTGCAAATTTTTTTTTCATTAAAATTAATTTTTTTTAAATGCGTTTTTTTGAAAAAAAATTATTTCCATATGCTTGGATACTGATTCTGATAACACAGTTAACGGGAACCACAGGGTTTTTGTTACATGTTGTATATATAAATTAAATATAAAACAAAGAACAGCTTAGACAACGATGAATTTCGAATTTGAATCACAAGCGTCAGTATTTGTTTTATCACTGAAATGATTATTTTGTAATGTTTATATATAGGTATAACCTATAAAGCATAGAAAGCTTAGCTTCTATTCGGTGTCCCTCGACACCTGACTTTTCTGTGTCTATTATAACAAAATATTCATAACCAACTAAAGTTATTAAGTATTTTGTGGTATTAATGGCCTTGAAAAAATGATGCCTCACAGTTGTACAACGGAAACAATTTCTTCTGGTATGGAGAATGGGCCTACCACAAATTGTGGCGTAACTTAATGAAATGCATTTATTTCTTATATTCTATAGATTATAATAAGTTGTATTAGTTTTACCGCCGGGAATACTGAAAAATGAACAATTAAAATATGATAATCACAATAACCTAAAAACAAATTAGTCGCGATTGTCTAGTAGTTTTCATTGGTATTATAAGTTATAGTTATAGTGCATTGTTCAGTAAATTACATCTAGTATAAAACAAAGTTGTAGGTAAATTCAGAAATTAGAGGTAAATGGAGTATAGAGATAAGGAGGACAATCTCCCAATCTCCCATAGGAGTATGGAGTGTAATTAAAGCATTATGATGATTAAGATTAAAGCCAAGACGAATAAGGAATAATAATATGTTAATTTATTTATAGTGCACTTATACTACCTATATACGGTGTATTGTAGGAAAGATGTTGTTATTGTCAATTGTTGAATTGTGAAAATGAAAGTATTTAATAATATATTTTATTATATTGAAAACCTTTTTATTTATATTTTTCTAGGTTTTACTTTAAAAATAAAACCACAAAAACTATTCCTTGTTACAGGTTTTAGAACGCAAATACAATTAATATAGATAAAACCACAGATAAAACATTATCTTTAACTTGCAGCGCCATCTATGCTGTATCGAATAAAATGCCTTAAAGGTTAATGTCATCCGTATACTGCACAGAAACTATTACTTCTACTTACGTGTAAGTTTTAAGTACATAAGAATAAATGATTTTTAATAAGTTTAGATGAAGAAAAAAAATTGTGCAAAGTTTACAGCTTGTGGTAAGAAGTAGAAAGCTTGTTCATACTGATTTATAATCTCGTATCAAATTCGAATATTGGCGCCAAATTATAAGATGATCACGCCACCTTGCGCCAAAAAGCAGAACTTACAGCTTGCACTGAGTGAACAAAGAGAGCTAGCTAGCCACCACTAGAAATTAAAGGTTGTTTTTTATCTCTGTCGGGCGAGCGCATACATGTCGAGCGTGAATGGGACGCCTACTACACTTTCAGCCATGAATTTACCCATCTTTCTTTCTTGTGCAACTGTTTCTCGTCGGTCGTGTCCTATGATCTAGTGTTAACGCATGATGGACGCCATTCGCGCGAGATAATCACAGCTATATAGTGTAGAGATAGTGTTATTCGTGGAGTGCCGGGAGTATGCGATAGTGCCTGGTGCGTGTCGGGTGGTCTCGGAGCAGGAGCGAGCGGAGGCGTGAGGCTGGCATGGCGGGCGCAAGCTGAGCGGGAGCGGCGTCCGCTCGCGCTCCGCCGCCGGCCCGATGAGCGGGGCATGCTCGGCGCGGCGGAGGTTTTATGGGTATTTGCGTGAGCTGCCGGCGCCGCGAGCGAAAGGCACCCGAGAAGGGCTGGGTGCCGCGAGGACCCGCGAAGGGCGCGGCGGCGACCGAACTGTTGCCACGGCGCGCCGACCTGCCAGCCATGGCCAACTCTATCTCAAGCATCAAGATGAATAACCCTTTCAAGGTCATCGTCAGCAAGCAGCGGAAACGCTACACAAAGAACGGCTTCAATTTGGACTTAGCATGTATCCTTTTTCGTGTTACCAGTGTTTAAGTGAGGTTGTTTTAGCAAGTTCGATGTCTTCTATTGGGTAAGTCGATACTTTTCTTCACTGTACGTACGATTATCCTTCAAATATGATATTTCCTCTGTGTAGTCATGGTAATTCAACTTTATAACCTCTTGAGCATCCTTAAATTGTTCAAGGGCACTTCGGTTTTGAACCATGCATATCGCCTATTTATTCGACGATTTCGTCTGTTTTGAGGTTATAACGCGTCTTACAACAATCAAATTGCGCTCAATTTTTCATTCCCAGATGCTTAACCTAAAAATACGATCCGTTATATTGATATTAAAAATTGTTAAATATGAATAAAAATCAACATAATGTATCAAAAGTCATACGTGTATTAATAAAATAGTGTGAATAGGATGAACAAGTGCTTTCTACACATTATATAGATAATATACTACTTTACTATCTTGCATAGCAACAGTGTTCCTAACTCTATCTTTAAAGACTGAAGATGTAAAATATATTTCTAAGACAAACAAACTATCTGATAATCATAATAAAGAATTGTTGATGTACTACTTTTAATATTATACATATATGTGGCTCTGCTTTAGACTTGTTTATATTGCATTGCAAAAAAATTGTTCTGATATTGGTTATGGGGTAATGTGGATAATATTGCTCATGGCTACTAATTATAAGAACAGGACTGTAATATTTATTTCCTTATTGAAGACCTTGATTGAACACATTTAATTCAATTCTGGTCAACATATTTAATAATTAAATTTTAATTAATATGGTAATATATATTAACACTTGCCAGGCAGACGTTGTTCTGCCCTTTTTCTACGACCCTTTGTCATGTCCTACCAAAAATCCTTAAACTCTCAAAAAAAATTGTGGGTCACTCATGGGCAAAAATACTATCCTATCTCTCGAGTCAACTGACACTTTGATTAAAACGTTAAGTAGTTTAGGAGTCCATCGCGGACAAATAATGTGACACACATAATATATATATATATAAAGATATATAATGATATAAAAATTAATTTGCCTATGAATTTAGCATTAGTTTATACATATTATTTCATGGCGTGAGTAGTAGTTACGATAAAATAATTATGCTATTTTTGATGGCTCCTTGGCATAGTGGTTTAGCAATGAATTGCAGCGCTAAGGGTTGTAAGTTTGAATCCCGCACCTGAACAAGTATTTTTATGGCCTACAAATAATTGTCCCGGGTCTGGATATTTGTCCTTCTGAAATTTATGTATGTAAACTGCTCCCATTATACAGGAGAAAATCCTAGTGTGGAGGTAACATTAAAGAATAAGAATAAACCAATACATTTTTGAATAATTATTATAGTCATTAATTGTAACAACTCAATTTTTAAAATAGTATTTTATGCCTTAGCATGATCATGATGCCTTAGTAGGGTATGGTTGGTATAACATTTGAATCTTCCATTATAATTTTAACTTTCGTTATCAATTTCATTGTATTCAATATAAAATAGTTTTACTAAAACTATGGCTGGAAACAAAGTAAATATAAGAAAAAGAGGCCATAATGTTGGTATTTGATACAATATAATCTTTAGTCAAAATCATGAATCACCAATCAGTTCCTAGTATCTCCTAGTATCAGAAAATATATAAATCTGTTGCGGTCCATTTGCTAGATGATGACTAGCAACCGAGATTTAAAATGTCAATCAACAATTAAAACGAAAAGAAATCAGAACATTTTTTATTGACGATACATCTTATTAAAAAATAAAGTAAGTACCCAATAATAGAGCGAAAAATGTCTTTTTTTATCTAAACAAGTCTGAAGTCTGAAAATAAGTGGGTGTAAGCTATTGCCCTTAAATCTTCGGCACAGAATAAATAATAGTACTACCTACAGAAGTTGCACTCCTTTGATGTTGACTGCTTGCCAGCAAGTTAAATAAAACTTTAATTACTCCAATGTTACTTTGCATCTTTTTTACTTCCTATGTCACGGCGCACTATCCATGGCTACTAAGGACTATCAATAAAGAGTAAAAAAATACAATGCAAAATGGTTAGTTACTTAGGTAAAGTACGTAATCTGACTATGATTGACTGACCATATTTTCGCTACTGAGAGTTCTGTGATGCCCAATGCATGCAACTTGCAAGGCTTTTGCATTCATTGGGCATCGCGCATTGGCATTGCGATGCTTGGCTCTGAAGAAATAGGCAGATAGTGTAAACAACAAATAAATTCGAAATATTATACCTATCAGAAATGTGATTGTATTCTACTCAGTTAAGTCTTGTTAGTAAACAAAGTTTTAATATCAGTATTTTATGTTATAATTACCAAAGACAAGTAGTATGGTATGGTATGTAAGTAGGTATTTGGATAGTGGAGTAAATTGCAATTTTGTGATAAAGTACTGAGGTATTACTTCTGTTGTTAAATTATTACTTAATTCTTTTTTTTGCTAGAAGTATCTATCTAGTAAAAAAATTAAATAAATTCACCTTTCATAACTTTCTACTAAAATCCTTCAGTAACTTAAATAATGATATATCTGAAACCTTTTGTTGGTCATTAAGCATTCATCCATGCAACAATTATAATAGGAATGATGTTTTACCAAAATAATTTATTAAATAGATAGGTAATATACACAATACATATAAAATTTTTAATATAAATTAAAACTTTTTTAACTATTTTATCCTACTATTAAATATACTAAACACTAAACAAAAATTTCAACAAGTATTTACAAAAAACGATTAACATAAACAGTGTTCAAAAACTTCATCATTCAATCACCTATTATCAAAATATTTTTTACATATAGCAACACTAAAATATACTAAATGTTACTAGTATGTGTTTGAATAAAATGTACTAAAAGTGGTAACTGCATCAAAATTGGACCTACTTATGAAATATTAAAAATATTAATATTCCATAATTATTATTCATGATTGAGTATATTATTTTCTTGGTTGCTTTATTTATAATTAATTATATTTCTTGTGGCTCATTTATGATGGAAGTAATCATTTAAAATTTAAATAACAATTTAAGCACCCTAAAGGGTTACATTTGTTGTGAACAGGTGTCTCATTGTTTCTTAGATAATCTTGTCCTAGATGCATCACATTATCATGTGCGAAACCCATGGTGTGAAAACAGTGTAACTGCTTAAAATAAATGCTAATGACTATTCAATTCTAATGTTGTACCTACTCTTTTTCCAAGACTTTGAACTTAATTTGAAATACTATCTTTTGACTGAAACATACTATTTTTTTATCTGTTTTAATCTAACCTGCAATTGCCTGCAATTCAAACTAATAAGTGTAGAAATAGATTTTACATTAAAGGATGCTTACGACTGTCAATGTATAAGGAATTATGCTTGTTCAAGAGATAACAGATGAGAATGACTGCTTACGCAGGAAATGCATGTCAACACAACTGATCAGCTGCGAGTGTCAGAATCATCCAGTTTGATGTGAAATGATGCCTCTCTCCTGTCACTCTTTCTGTACACATCCTGTACAATGTAAGAGGCCCATGTCCACTACTGTAATTTTACGGCCGATGACATGATTTTTAAGTCTTGATATCAATCAAATAACTCAATATTTTCTTTGTAAAATTATAAAGTGTCTTTTGGTAGGTACAATAAAGTCACATAGGTATATACTCTCAAGTCAGACTAATAGGATTTTATTAGTAAAACGAATAATTTTATGTTAAGTGATGAAAATCAGATATGTACAGGCAGATAGATTCAAATGTAACCATTTTGGTTGATGGAGATGTTAAGATAGTGTGATTTTTTTATTATTTATTAACTGGTGTCCCACTGACCCTGACTTGCCTGTGTGATCCCATTTGATGATAAGCTTATTTTATGCTATGCTAGTAAAAGCATATTTTTAAACAACTTGGAAGTTGTTTTATTTGTGTATGTTTTCTTTGTATGTATGTATGTTATACAATATCTTTGCAGATTTTGAACGATTTTAATGATTATTTTTTTATTCAATAGGCTTAACCTCAAGGGTGGTCACATATAAATTTGGAGGAAAAGGGTTGCAAATAAATAACTTATTCAGCAATTTGAAGTTGATTTTCACTTTTTGTTCAAAGTTACAATTATTCACTCTGCTCTTGTAAGACAGGTGATATTACCCTTTTCTTTTTTTATAGGATAGGGTGAAAAACGAGCACACAGTCCAACTGATGGTAAGTGGTTGCTGTGGTTCATAGACATCTACATCTATCTTCGATTACGAATCAAAATGCAGATGCGTTGTCATCTGTGAGGACTAAGATTGAATGTCTTGTTTCCAGTAAAAAGGGTCTCTGGTTCTCAACACTCACCATATGAAACACAGTAGCATTAAACTACTATTTTACGCTGGTATTCAGACATGGATACATGGCCGGTGTACAGAGCATCACCTGTGCTGTCATCTGCATACCAATGAATGTTGGTATGCAGATGGCTTGCAACATATCATTGATATACAGAAGAAACCGCATTGGTGATGCACGCAGCCTTGTGGAACACCAGCATTAATATACCTTGTAATCGGAGCTTGCACCGTCTACAACGACCTTGATGCTCCGATCTGCAAGAAAGCTGGTGATCCAATCGCACAATTTCTCGGGAAGCCCATAGGAAGGGAGCTTCGAAAGAAGCGCTTTGTGCCAAACCCGATCAAAGGCCTTCGCAATCTCCAAAATAAGGGCCAATGCCTCCCCCTTGGACTCTTCTGCCTCCGCCCATCTATGAGTTGGGTAGGCCAGAATCGGAATCAACCAGACCAAAATCACCAGCTGATCGACCACGTTAAAAACCGTATTGCTGATCACTACTCAGCTGGTGATCCTCAAGATACCTCACTAGCTGGCAGTTTAGAATGGACTCCATTGTTTTGGAGAACAAGGAGGTGGTGGCGATAGGCCTGTAGTTGGACGGGTCTGAGCGGTCG